GTCTGGGATTTGCTCTGCGACAAAGTTTTAAAACGATGTTACTGAATTGTCAAGCATCTGATGAAAGCCCGCGTGTGTTCCTCTGAGGGAGTGGAACAGGAGGAGCTGGAATTTGAGAAGAGGAAGGTCGGAACAGCCTCTGCGGGAGAGTGCCAGGGAACGTTCGAGACAAATAACAGAGTTGCCGAGCAGCTGCAAGGGCCAAGTTGAAATGGGTCAGCAGGGATTCCTACTGGCCCGCTCGGTCTTCCTTCTGGCAGTGTGCTGGGACTTTGGGAGCAGACGGGAAGAGGGGACAGTGGAGGCGGGGGGTCCCAGAGACGGTAACACTGCATGTGGGGTAACCGGGAGGTGATCGCCGATCTGGGTGACGTGAAAGGCAGTGTAACCTAGGAGTCCCACTGAGGTCGAGGTCGCAGGTGAGGTCGTGCGAGATGTAAAAGTTGTCTGGGAAGGCGCTGTACCTGCGAGCTATGAGCGACCCGCCAGGGCCTCGCTGCGTTCCACGCAGGCTGGTCACAGGGACTCTGCTGGCTGGAGGGGCCTGGTGTCGGGTTCCCCTTCTCAGATGGCAGGGGGGTCCTAGGTGCGGGCTGGTCCCCAATGGCTCTGCGATGGCTCGTAGCAATGACAGAGGTATTAATCAGTAGCTGTGTGACCTCAAGAAAGCTATCTCCTTCTTTGAGCCTTGTTTCCCTCACCTGTAAAATTTGGGGGAAATACCTACTTCATGGAGCGGGTGTGCAGATTAACTGAAGTAATGTGGGTAGAAGTGCCCAGACCAGTGTTATCCCATATAGCAGCGGTCCCCGATCTTTTTGACCCCAAGGACCGGGGCTCCTATGAGAATGTAGTGCCTGATGATCTGAGGCAGGGCCGAGGCGGCGATGCCGGCGCTGGGGAGCGGCTGCAAACACAGAGGCAGCTTTGCCAGCTCACCCACCGCTCACCTGCTGATATGCGGCCCGGTTCCTAACAGGCCACGAACCGGTACCGGTCCACCACTTGGGGGTTGAGGACCCATGCTCTCCATGATAGTTTTCTCCCTCAGCAGATGAATACAATAGCCCTTCATCCTGAAGCTAATGCCATGTTATGGTAAATATGTTAACACTTTATAGACTTAGCAAAATCTGACTGTGGAGAAAACCCTATTTTCTCACTGAAACATTATAAAATTAGAAATCGGAGATGTGTCCCTCCTAGAAAAAAAAGCACTCCAACTTTCCTAATAGGTGGAAGCGAAAGCTTTTGGTGAAGAGGAAAAGGAGGAGGAGGAGGAGTACTAATCCCAGCAAACACTTATGTAGTACCTACTGTATGCCAGACACTTCCAGGTGCCCATTAGCTATTATTACTATAACATGCAGATCTGGGCCTCAAAGGAGAGATGTGCCAGAGAGACAAAAGTGTGTCCTCTGCGTGTGGGTGGTACTTGGAGTCATGAGCATAAATGAGTGTCCAGAAGAGAGTAAGCCTAGAACTGAGTCCTGAGGAATTTCATCATTGAATGGTGGGGGTCGTAGAGCCCGGGAGGGAGATTGAAAGGAATGACCACACATGTAGGATGACAACCAAGAGGAGCGATAAGTCATTGAAGCCAACGTGTGAAACGTATTTCAAGGAAGAAAGCGTCACAGGTATCAAATTTTGCCTGACGAATCACGCAAGATGAGCCCTATAAGTTTCCATTGGATTTGGTGACTTGGTGGCTAATGATGACCTTATCACCACACATTGAGGGGCTTGGAAGTCAGATCGAAGTGTGTCGCAAAGGGATCGTGAAGAAGGAAATGGCAAAAGCATAGTTATTTCAAGGAGTTTAGTTATAAAGGAGAGCAGGGCGCTGAGTAGTACCTACAGAGGGATGCGAAATCGAGGGAAATTGATTTTGTAAATTGGAGAGACTTGAGCATATTTAGATGCCAACAAAAACATCCAAAGAGAGGGAAAGGTTGAATAAGCAGGAAAGAGAAAGAATAATTCGTTGCGTATGGTTTCCGGGCAGGTGTGAGGGGTTAGGATGCAAAGCAC